TCCTTCACATGGCCCCCACCCTAGTTTAGGTGCTAATCACATCTTGACTGTACTATTATAAGAACCTTGTAATTGTTCTTCTTGCTCCAAGTCTTTCTCCTCTTCAGTCTACCCTCTATATAGCTGCTGAAATGATATTCCACTATTCTGACCATGTCAGTTTTGCTTAATAAGCTTAAGTGGCTCCTTATTACCCATAAGATCAAACACAAACTTTTTTTTGTTTGGTGTTTAAAGATCTTTAAAATCTGGATCCAACCTATCTTTTCAGTCATAGTACACATTGTGCCATTTTCTACATCTTTCAGGCTTAAACTGTTTATCTTGCTATTTCTTAATGTAAGACATTCTATCTCTTGTTTCTATCTTTTTGGATAAGTTGTTCACCATGCACTTTCTTCCTCTTAAAATTCCTAGTTTCCTTCAAATCTCAGTTCTGCTTATAACTGCTGCCTTCCTTATTCAGCCCTCCCTTCTATAAGCCCCCCTTTATCCCCTTCCCCTCTTACTTTGCTGTAGATGTGTATGTTATTCCCTCTTTGAGCCAGTTCTGATATGAGTAAGGTTTAAGTGTTGCCCCCCCATCTTCCCCTCCACTGTAAAAGCTCTTCCTTTTGAACCTCTTTTTGTGAGATAATTTCCCTATTCTGCCTCTCCTTTCCCCCTTTTCCCAGTGCTTCTACCTTCTTAACCCTTAATATTTTAAAAATCATCTTATTATAATCAATTCACACCCATGCCCTCTGACTATATATACTCCTAACTGTCCTAATAACTAGAAAGTTCTTAGGAATTACAAGTATCATCTTCCCATATAGGGATGTAAACAGTTTAGTCTTATTGAATCATTTATGATTTCTCTTTCATGTTTATCTTTTTATGATTCTCTTGAGTCTTGTCTTTGAAATTCAAATTTTCTATTCAGCTCTGGTCTTTTCATCAGTCACACTTGAAGGTCCTCTACTTCATTAAATGTCCATCCTCCCCCCCCCCCAAAGGATTATACTCAGTTTTCCTGGGTAGGTGATTCTTTGTTGTAATCCTAGCTCCTTTGCCTTCTGGAAAACTATATTCCAAACCCTAAGATTTTTTAATGTAGATGCTATAGAATTTTGTGTTTTTATGACTGTGCTCCATGATATTTGAATTGTTTCTTTCTGGTTGCTTGCAATATTTTTTCCTTGACCTGGGAGTTCTGGAATTTGGCTATAATATTCCTGGGAGTTCTCATTTTGATATCTCTTATAGGAGTTAATCAGTGGATTCTTTCAATTTCTATTTTACCCTCTGGATCTAAAATGCCAGGACAGTTTTTCTTGACAATTTCTTGAAAGATATTATCTAGGCTCTTTTTTTGATCATGGCTTTTAGGTAGTCCAAAAATTCTTAAATTATCTCTCCTCAATCTATTTTCCAGGTCAGTTGTTTTTCAGATGAGATATTTCACATTTTCTATTTTTTTCATTTTTGATTTTGTTTTATTGTTTCTTGATGCCATTAGCTTCCACTTGCCCAATTCTAATTTTTAAAAAATTATTTTTTTCAGTGAGCTTTTATGCCTCTTTTTCCATTTGGTCAATTTTATTTTTTAGGGAGTTCTTTTCTTCAGTGAATTTTTGTACCTCTTTCTCCACTTAGCCAATTCTGCTTTCTTAAGGAGTTCTCTCTCTTTTTTTTAGGCAATTGGGGTTAAGTGACTTGCCCAGGGTCACACAGCTAGTAAGTGTCATGTGTTTTGGTCTGAGGCCAGATTTGAACTCAGGTCCTCCTGACTTCAGGGCCAGTGCTCTATCCACTGTACCACCTAGCTGCCCTGAGGAGTTCTCTTCAGTGGATTTTTGTCTCTTTTACCATTCTGTTTTTTAAGGCATTATTTTCTTCTTTGTGCCTCTTTTACCAAGCTGTTGACTCTCTTTTCATAATTTTCTTCTATCACTCTCATTTATTTTCCCAATTTCCCCTCTACCCCTCTTATTTGATTTTGAAAATCCTTTTCAAGCTCTTCTAGGAATTCTTTTTGGGCTTGTGTCAAATTCACATTTTTCTTTGAGGCTTTACATTTAGCTGTTTTGACTTCATTGTCTTCTGAATTTGTGTCTTGAGCTTCCCTGTCACCATAATAACTTTCTATGGTCAAGTTCTTTTTTTTTTCTCATTTTCCCAGCCTATTTCTTCACTTTTAACTTTATGTTAAAGCTGTGCTTTGCTTCCAGGATAGGCGAGGCACTGTCCCATTTCAGGTTTTTCATGCTAGTGTTTTCAGAGCTAGGTCTGAGAGTCTGTAAGTTTTTGGTTCTTCCAAGGTAGTATGATCTAAGGAGAGGTGTGGTCATTGATGTCTTGGCCTGTGCTCTGGTCTGTGAGTGACCACAAGCACTCTTCTACTCCCTGGAACTGTGACCAGGGCTGTTCACCTGTGGTTGCAAGCTCTAGTGATCCTCTTTGCCCTGGGACTTTGACTTGGAATGGTGTATGGGAAAAGATTGCTTTAAAAAAACCCAGACCTATAAGATTAAAAATAACTGCCTTTTTAATTAAGAAAAGAAAATATAATAACTGACATTTTTCAGTGAGGTGTCATCATCATGGCTATTTTTATCCTCTTTTTACAATGAAAAGAATGAATTTCAGAGAGGGTAAGGGCCTTGCTCATAGTCTCATAGCAAGGAAACACCAGAGGCAGGATTTTAACTCAGGTCGTTATGACTTCAAGTATAATACTCTATCCTTTATGCCAGAGGTATCAAACATGCAAAAATGAAAATAGTCTCCCATAGGGTTTTGCACCCATTGCCAGTAATCTCCTTCTGACCAAATGTCCAACCTCTTACCCCTCTCCTCCTTCTGGGTTCTAAGAGCTCCTGAGGTTGCTGCTGTTGCTGGTGCAGCTACCCCTAGATGCTACTGGCTTGCTGGGGGCCTGTACTGTGTTGTACTCCAGGTCTGACCATCACCCTGGTGAGACATCTTTCCTGCTGACCTCCTAAGTTGTCTTGGGGTGGAAAATCATTTCACTTTAACCTTTTGTTGGTTCTGCCACTTCAGAACTTGATTTGAGGCATTACTTTAAAGTTGATTGGAGGGAAATTTGGGAGAATTCAGATGAATTCCTGACTTTACACTTCATCTTGACTCTACCTCCTCCAAATCTCAGGTCAAATGCTTCTTTGTATGTAGGGACTCCCCTGATGGCTTCAGTCACTAACAGTGCCTCCCCCAATTAGCTGAAATTCATTATATCTATTTTATATATTATTATATTTATACATATTGATACATATATATCTGTGCAATGTGCATATTAGAGACATACATTTTATGTCCATTGAATGTAAGCTATTTGAGGACAAGATCTAGTTTATGTTTTTCTATCCCTAGCAACTGCCACAATATGTGGCACAGAGGAAGTATATAATAAATACTTGTTGATATAAATATATAATCCATCATATATATACACATATATGTGTATATATTTGTAATATATAAATATGTATTATGTATAGTTGTGCATATATGCATATGTATATATCTATATGTATGTATATTTGTGTGTCTTTCTGTCTGTCTATCCATCTATCTATTGTGCAGTGGATAGAGTGTTAGGCTTGAAGTTAGGTAGATCTGAATTTGAGCCCTGCTTTAGACACTTACAAATTGTGACCCGGACCCAGGTAAGTCTCTTGTCTTAGCCTCAGTTTCTTCATTTGTAAAATGGAGAATAATAGACCTCACAGGGTTGTTGTGAGGATCAAATGAGATAATATATGTAAAGAGCTTTGCAAACCTTAAAGTATCATATACATTCTAGGTATCATCATCATCATCATCATCTATGTGTACATATTCATGAGGTAGTATATCACAGCAGACAGAGGGCCAAGTCTGGAGTTAGGAAGACCTGAGTTCAGGTCCTCCCTCTAAATTACTCAATCTTTCTGAGCCAGACAACTCTTTTAAGAATGCAAAATGTGGAGCAGTTACTGATTGGTATTGGCAGAGGGCATTTCTTTACTGGAGTTTTCTGGTTTGATTACAGGTCCAATCTAAGAAACAAATGCTCACCTTATATTTAGTTACACACACACACATATCATGTCACATGCCTAAATGTGTTAGTAGAGACCACAATAAAAGCAATCAACCAACAAATATTTGCTAAGTACCTAGTATGTACCAAGCTTTGAGCTAATGCTGAGAATACAAAGATAGATATAGAATAGTCTTTGCCCTCAAAAAGCTTAAATTCAACAGAGCAGTTTTAGACATCCTTTTAGAACAGAATTTGGTAAAATATTATATTAGCTCAATTAATATATTATCTGATTAATATATTTTATTATGTACTATACATTAATATATTGAGCAAAGTTATATTTTTCTAGAAATATCTAGAAGAATATTAATATCTATTCTATTAATATATAATATCTATTAATATATTTTTAAAACCACTTTAATTCTTCTTCAATATACCTCCTAATGTACATGCCACATATTTTATTTCTGTACCAAAGACACTTGTTGTACTCAGATGCTTAGACAGAAGTTACTTGTTTAGTCTTTTCTAAACAGCCTTGTTACTTTGATGTGAAGAGAGGCTCAGAAAAATGAAAGAAGTGTCTCACTTAACTTGTTTGTTCTCATAAAAATGTACTCTTGTCCAAGCTAGATATTAGATGCTAGAGACACTCACGATCAGACTAGCAGTAGATTGCCTTCTAGTAATTAGCTAATCCTTGGATTAGCTCTGGGAAGGAAGGGATGACAGAATTATTATTGTCATTTTACAGGTGGAAAATATAAGGCCCTTTGGAATCAAGCCAGTGGAGGAGGTGAGGTTTCCTCAGAGGTGATTGACAACCCTCCCCCCCCTCAATTTCTACTGCTTACTCTCATGAATCTTGTATCTCAAACTAGAGCAGTGAGAATGACTTTAGACTTACTGGACCATGAAGTTTACTTAATGCCATTTTGTTTACAATGTATGCTTTAACCAGGAATTAAAAGAAGAAATAGATCATCACACATATGAAGAAATACTACATCAGAGGGAGAACTCAGTATATTATGCAAAAATAGACCAGAAGCCAAGTTATACAGAGCCTTTAACTCTACGTAGTGCAGGTAAGGGGAAATACTATATTTGATTTAGATGGCCAAACATGCTAGTATTTTTTTTTTTGGTATTTTCTATCAGATACATTTAAAAATGTTGACAAGACTTCTAATAGAGTATGTATAGTATTATTTGGGGAAAGTTCCAATACCCAGAGTTAGACCATCATGGGTAACAGAAGGCCTCAATATGAATACTGAAAAATGTGGGCACTCCTAAATAAGAGACTAAAAGGAGTGATGAGGTCTTCAATAGCCTGAAGGAGAAAATAAAAATATATAAGCATAAAATACCATATAAAACTTATAATATTTCTACATCAGCATTTGACTTTCTACTATTGGCCATTAATGATGAGCAAAAAGAGGTGTTTGGGGGGCAGCTGTGTGGCGCAGTGGATAGAGTACTGGCCCTGAAGTCAGGAGGACCTGAATTCAAATATGGTCTCAGATCAAATGCTTGACACTTATTAGCTGTGTGACCCAGGGCAAGTCACTTAACCCCAATTGCCTCGCCAAAAAAAAAAAAAAAATTAAAGAGGTGTCTGTTGGAGTTTTATGTTCCTGAAATTGAAATCAATATTTTCATGATAATTTAGGTTTATATCATATTATATATAATTATTATATATGGCAACAGCTAGGATTTATACAACTTTTTTAAAGTTTGCAAAGCACTTAACATATTATCTCAGTTAATCCACATGACAACTCTGAGAGAAAGGAGCTGTTATTATCTTAATTTTGCAGATAAGGAAACTGAGGCTGAGAACAGGATAAATGACTTGCCTAAAATCATCTGGTTGGTAAATGCCTAAGGCAGGATTCCGACTCTGGTCTTCCTGACTTAAAGTCCAACACTCTCTTTATTCAGCAAACAAAAAATATAAAAATGGGTTTACATGAGTATATGTTTATACTGATGTGTGTACATATACATATGAATATACATGTGCAGGGTGCTAGGTCTTTCAAGCTTTAAAGTTGTAAATACCCTGTGTGTTCCTGTGCATGCACACCACCCCCCGTCCCCCCCACACCCACTGGTCTACAGGAAAAATCAGTTGAAGAGAACAAATTTCATTCAATTAGCTTAGATTGTTTTTTTTTTAAAGAGATCTGTAAGATTAAACTATCTGCCTTTTTAATTAAGAATATAAAATATAAGTGACATTTTTGATGAGGTGTTATCATTATGGTTACTTTTATCCTTTTTTCACAGTGAAAGAAACTGAATTTCAGAAAGGTTAAGGACCTTGCTCAGTCTCATAGCTAGGACACACCAGGGGCAGAATTTGAACTCAGGTCTTTATCCTACTCTATCCTCTGCCAGAGGTATCAAACATGCAGACTATAACACTCCCCAATGTGGTCTGAACCAGATGAAAATATAATTGGGAAAAATTTAATTAAGTAAATAAAAATATAATAGAATATAAATAATGATAATATATAATTTTCTTAGTCAAAATGCACTTGCAGGGTCCTTATTTAGGGCTTAGTGGTCCCTGCTTCTGTTTGAATTTGATACCACTGTCTCATTGGAAACAATTCATTAAATACAAAGAATATTGCTGACATACTTTGATTCCACATTATGGCCGGTTAAGAGAGAAGCAGTATGATGGACAAGAAAAGTCTAAGGGACTGCCTCTGGTTTCAGAGCATCTGGGTTTGGATCCTTGCTCTGCTGCTCACTAGCCATGTACATTTTGGCCCTCTTTGGTCCTGTTTTTTTTTTAACTATTTGACCTTGTTGTTGTTCAGTTGTGTCACACTCTTCATGACCCCATTTGGGGTTTTCATGGCAGTGATACTGGAGTGGTTTGCCATTTCCTTCTCCAGCTCATTTTACAGAAGAAGAAACAGAAGCAAACAGCATTAAGTGATTTACTTAGGGTCACATAGCTAGTAAGCCTCTGAGGCCGCATTCGAACTCAGGGAGATGAGTCTTCCTGACTCCAGGCCCAGCACTCTATCCACTGTGTCACTGGCTGCCATTCTTTACCTATAACAAGAGGTTATTGGACTAGCTGATCTCAAAGATTTCTTTCATCACTAAATCCTATGGCTTATTATCTATAAGTGGCAACTGAGAATTGGAAAAGCAACAAGAAAAACGATTCATTAAGCACTGGCTGTGTGTATACCATAGGAGATAGCTGGGTGATGCCATACATAGAACTCTGATTCTGAAGTCAGGAAGATCTGAGTTCAAATTCTGCTTTAGATCCTTAGTGGCTGTGTGACCTTGGGCAAGTCACTTATCTTCTCTCAACCTTAGTTTTCTTATCTTTAAAATGGCAATAATCATACCACTTACTTCTCAGGGTTGTTGTGAGGATAAAATGAGATAATTGTAAAGCCCTTTGCAAACCTTAAAGTGCTATAGAGATGCTAACTATTATTATTATACCAGACACTATACTAGGTGCTAGAGATGGAAAGACAAAAAGAAATCTATTGCTATCCTGAAGAAACTTACATTCTACTGGGAAGAAACAACACATATGCAGACAAGTAAATCAAAATACATTAAAATAAGAAAATTTCTTTGAGGGGATGTTACAATTGGGGGAAACATGAAAGGCCTTTTATAGAAGGTGGCCTTTCATCTGAGTCTTGAAGGGGAATTAAGAGGAGTCCAAGAAAGTGGAAGTAAAGAGGGAAAATATCTCAAGCAGTGGGAATAGTCTGTTCAAAGGCAAAAGGATGGGAAATGGAATGTTATGCATAGAGGAGAGAAAATATGCCAATTTGACTGGAATGTAGAGTTTTTGAGGAGGAGTCATGGGAAATCAGAATGACAAGAAAGCTTGGAACCAGAAAGGTAGGGCTCCAAATACCAAAAAAAGAAATTTGTTGTTTCTCCTAGAGGTAATATGGTGCTGCTGAAGCTTCTTGGATAAGTGTTGACTTGGTCTAGATCTGTACTTAAGGATTATTAGTTTTGCAGGTACATGGAAGAGAGACTTGAGAGGGAAGAGAACTGAGGCAGGGAGGCCAAGCAGGAGGCTGTAGCAATAATACAGATGAAAAGTGATGAGGGCCTGACCTACTGTGATGACCACACCATCATAGAATGAAGTACAATAGCAGTTGAAGGGTCCTCACAGGCCATCCAGTACAATTGACTCATTCTGCTGATGAAGGATTAAGGCCCAGCAAGATGAAGTTATTTGCCAGAGGTCACACAGGCTGTAAGCCAGGTTTTAGACCTACATCTTTGAACTCAAAATCCACTATGTGACTGGGTGAGTGGAGGGAAAAGGACAAAGTGGAGAGATATTGGGGAAGTAGAATCTATGAGATTCAGTGTTTCATCAGCTATGGTTGAGAGAGGAAAATGAAGAGTCAAGGATGTTGTCAGCTTTGGTGACTGCAAAGATGACAGTGCCCTCAACAAAGAGAAAGCAGTGAGGAGAGGTGGATTTAGGGAGAAAAAGAGAGAAAGGTATGAAGGGTAGTTAGAGAAAGCTATTGAGAGGAAAAAGGAAGAAAAGAGGGAGAGATGGGGAAAAAGAGAACAAAAGAAGGGATTTTGTTGTTGTGTAATTGTTTTAGTCATATGTGACTCTTTGTGACCCATTTAGGATTTTCTTGGCAAAGATACTGGAATGGTTTGCATTTTGCAATTTCCTCCTCCAGATAATTTTTCAGATGAAGAAACTGAGGCAAACAGAGTTAAGTGACTTGCCCAGGGTCACACAGCCAGTAAGTGACCGAGGCCAGATTTGAACTCATGAAGACAAGTCTTCTTGACTCCAGAAACAAAAGAACTAGTGAAGAAGAGTGGCTCAGCAGGTTCTGAAATTTTAGGAAACTATATTTTTTGCACTCAGCTATTTACTCCAGCAGTGATGCAGTTCAGAATACTGGTGTTGCCCTCAGCTATGCTAACTATCTGATTAACTACTGCTTATAATTCATCAGTTTTTTTAATCTTTTAATTTTCAGGGGCTCAGTTCTGGGTGGTGTAGCTGCAGCAGGCCATCAGTAGAGAAATGACCTTATTAATCCAACCATAGGATACCTCTGATTTTAGGCCACATCCCTCAAATGAGAACTCTCTGAAAAGAAAAATTATAGGTAGACACTGGTTGGTGGGGCATAACTTGATAACAAAGTCTTGTTTTGACTTTATCATGGGAATTTCTGAGCTTTATGGAAGCTCAGTATCCACTGAATAGAACGAGGATTAGGCAAGATGGGAAGATTCCCAGGATGCAACATGCAGCAGGAAGGAACACAGAGAGTAACTCTTCAAAATTGCTCAACATTGTATCTATTTTTGTTGTCAGAGAATACCCCTCTCTCTGGCTTGTAGGAGTTTATTTATGTTTGTTTATTTATTTGCTTGTTTATTTATTCTGAATTCAACAAACCCTAAGAAAAGGACATTTTCATATAAAAAGTAGAATAGAAAATGAGAATTATACATGAAACCATGAATCTTTGATATATAGCTTGCTTTAAAAAATATATATAATAAATTCAGCATGTTACTTTCAAAGCTGACCTGCTTGTCTGTGTTTCCCTCTTGAATTACATTCTTTTCCCTTCTGTGCATTTTAAAATTTACTTCAATGACCCATTTTTCTTTTAGTCTTTTTTTGGCAACACTATTGACAACTCCCCTTTTCCCCAAGCCTTCCTCCCCCAATAGAAAAGGGGAAAATCATTATAAGAAGTATAGTCAAGCAAAACAAATCCACACATTTGCCATGTTTGAAAATGTATGTCTCATTCTGTACCTTGGGTCCATTACCCCTCTGTCAGAAGAGTAGGAGCATGCTTCATCATTAGTCCTGTGGGGTCATGCTTGGTCACAGGGGTCTATTTTTTTTTTTTTGGCTAGGCAATAGGGCTAAATGACTTGCCCAGGGTCACACAGCTAGTAAGTGTTATGTGTCTGAGGTTGGATTTGAACTCAGGTCCTTTTGAATCCAGGGCCAGTGCTCTATCCACTGCGCCACCTAGCTGCTCCTATAGGGGCCTATTTTTAAGTAGAATTTTGTAAGATCAAAGATTTCGAGCTGGAAGGAATGTCAGAGGTCATCTAGTTTATTTCTCTCATTTGGCTGGAAATGGAAGCCCAGAGAGGTTAAGTAATTTGTCCAGTGTCACACAGGTAATAAGTGGGCAAAGCTGGGATTCAAACTTAAGCCCTCTGACCCTAAACCTGTCACTCTTTGCACTGTACCAAGTGTTTTTTTTTAAAAACAAAGTTTCAGAGAGTCATAGAGACAGGAACGTTCCAGAGCCTTACTTTTCTAACTTTTCCTGGGATGTGCAGATACCTTATACTACCTCTGCCAGTAGTAAAGACAAGGTCCCTACAGGGCAGCCCAGGACCAGGGCTTAGGTCTCAATGCTCAGCAATTACATATTATTGATAACCTATTCATTAAAGCAAGGTAACCCCTTCTTAAGTCTCTTTGAGTTCCTGTATGTACTTGGAACTAATAAAACTTCATTTCTTTTAAAATAATCTATAAATGACATTTTGACCTAGTCTGATGGACTTACCCTTCAATTATTTTGAATTAGTGAGATTATATTATAATTTATATTATCTGCTTCATAGAAAAAAGAAGGCGCATTTTGCTATTCTGTGTTATGACTAATTAGCAACAGATGTAGGACTGGAAGGGATTTTAGAGGTTATCTTGTCTAGCCCCTTCTTTTTACAGATGAAAAAACTGAGGTCTAAGGAGGATAAGTGACTTGCCTTGGGTCACACAGGTAATAATTATCAGGAGTGGGATTCAAACCTCAGAGTAAGTGCATTTTCTATTGTACTACAATTTAAAGGAGTAAGACGGTAACTTCATATATTATGAAATTTTTAAGTTGAACACAGTGCTTTCCTTACAACAGCCCTATGAAGTAGGTAGTGAAAGCACGATTTGCATTTTGCAAATGAAGAAACTTAAAATTAGAAAGATTAAATGACTTGCTCCCAGGCATTCTAACTCCAGGGCCAGCATACTTTACACTAATATAAGGCTACTTCTCTATGGCAAAAGTAAATGTAGCTCAGTGGCTTAACGCAGTTTCCTACATGTGTGTGTTTTTTTGTTTTCTGTTTTTTATTTTTTACTCCAGAAGGCGATGTGTTTCAAGCACGCACCCCCAGACAAGAAATTCAAGGAGCTCTGTATGTGAAAGATGACAACAATGTGCAAATAGACTTGCCTGTTGATCAGGTAACAAAAGTGGAAATAGGTAGGTGGGGGGGGTGGATGGGAAATGTCTTATTACATGTTTCTTTTTTTTCTTTTTCTTCGAACATTCATTTGAAAAAAAAATTTGAGATTCAAATTCTATCCCTCCAGTCTCTCCCCTAGCCATTGAGAAGGTAAGTAAAATGATATCCACTATACATGGGAAGTAGTTGTCCTCATTCAGTTGTGTCTGAATCTTTGTGACCCCATTTGGGGTTTTCTCAGCAAAGATACTGGAGTGGTTTGCCATTTCTTTCTCCAACTCATTTTATAAATGAGGAAACTGAGGCAAACAGGGTTATGTGATTTGCCCAGGGTCACCCAGCTAGTGAGTGTCTGAGGCTGGATTTAAACTCAGATCTTCTTGACTCCAGGCCTGTCACTCTATCCACTGTGCCACCTAACTCCCCAAAACATATCTCCATATTAGCCATAATGCTTAAAAAAATCCAAGAAAAATAAAGACAGTGAAAAAATATGCTTCAATTTGCACTCAGAGTCCATCAGTTCTCTCTCTGGAGGTGGATAGCATTTTTCATCATGAGTTCTTTGGATTTGTTATGGATTATTGTATTGATAAGGGTAGCTAAGTCTTTCACAGTTGATTATCATTATGATACTACTGTTACTGTGTACAATGCTCTCCTTGTTCTATTTACTTCATTTTGCACCAATCCATATAAGTCTTTCCATGTTTCTCAGAAATCATTCTCTTCATTATTTCTTACAGCACAATAGTATTTCATTACAAATCATATACCATAACTTGTTGTGAACTTGTTCAGAAACTGTACACACTGATCACTGAGAGAGACCTTCCTGGCTTTCCAGTACTGGCTGTACCTTCACTTGGCTCACTGGTTAAAGTGAGGGAGTTGGAATACTCTTTGCTCCCCATTGCTTGGGAGGTACCATGATTTTATAGTCAAGAAAATAATGATGAACAGATCAATAACTTGGAGAAATTTAAATTTTGGAAAAGTAATTATTTGAAAAGTTTTTATTTTTCAAAATACTGTCATACCTATATATGCAATGGTCAGGTGAGGCCAAAAAAAGAGACCTGCTTAGGGTCACACAGCTAGTAAGTGTCTGAGACAGGATTTGAACTCAGGTCATCATGACTCTAAGTCCAGTGCTCTTATTCATTTTGCCACCTACCAAGGGTGATATAGATACTCAAAATCTAATTAAAACAAATACCACTGTATTGAGAATTTGATTACAATGAAAATATTCCTCAGATCTAGCTTTGTGGCCAACCATATTTAAGCCATATTTCATAAACCATACAGTACCTACAAGTAATCTGTACCTTTGAAATTTATTGTAATGGGATATAACCTGTAATAGAATTCTCTCCTACTAGTGTCTCAAATAAGTGGATCCTTATTTTAACTTCTAATTAATAGAAGTATATTAGATTTTGATTGACTAATATATTGGATATTAAGATATAATTACAAATAAATGCTCTAGCTCATTGAAATTCACATAATAAGTGTTTATTGAATTGAACTGGGAGAAAGAATTGTGAGCTTCATATGTTGAATAATTGTACTTCCTCTTTGTTGCCCAATATCTTCAGCTTAATTATGAGTCATGGCATTATCTTCCTGAGGTCATGGTCCTCTTCAAGAATGAAGGACAAACCACATAAAGCCCCTCAGTACGTATCTGGTTCTAACTTATCTTTCCAGACTTACTTCACTTCACAACCCTTCATACACTCTCAGATCCAGCCAAATTAGCCTCCTTACTAATTGTCCCAAATCAGCATGCCGTCTTCTGCTGCCATGTCTTTGTACTGGCTAGGTCAGGACTGTACTTTGTCCTCATCTACACTTCTTAGAACCAAGACCCAAATCAGAAGATTTTTCTCTGTCCCCTAGCTGTTAATATTCTTTTTCTCTTAAAATTATATTGTATTTATTTGAACCATGGCCCAAGGGCTCACTTTGGACTGGCTTTGGTCTTGGGAGCCTGGCTACCAAGTAGACAGGTTATGTTTCTGGATTTTTTATTTCTCTACCACAGAAACTACATAAAATGCAGATGACTCATAGGTGTGCATGGATAAATGTAGGAAAAATGAAACACCCCAATTGCCTGTGACATTCATTATATTGCCCCAGAAGGTAAAGACTTTCTGGGACTGTTGAGCAGATATTTATCATTCTCCTCAGACTCACATTGTTCAAGCAACCCAGAGAAGTTATCATGAAAGGTTAGCAAGGTCTAGATCTCTTGCCCAGACAGGCCACGCTTTTAGTTATTAAACTGCAGAATCCCTCTGCTAAAATGTGCTTTTAAGGAAATTTACTTCTTGGAGATTGATGCCTGATTCAGATTTAGGAGCAGTAAGATTTAGGATTATACCCAAGACTAGGAATGCCAATTTCTTGAGTCTTCTAATTACTGACCTAGTCTCAGAAAAGGAAACAGAAAGGTAGAAGAAGGAACATAGGAGTGGGTTGTCCAGAGACTCCATTCTCAGGCCTTTAATGCTTCTCCTATGGTTCATCATTGCTTCTGGGCAGGGTGAGGGGATTGGTGACAAGAAAAATTCCCTCCTGTCTTTGTTTCATTCCTGTTTTGAAACCCAAGGGAAAGAGAGTCTTAAAAATGGTTCAAAAAGGGTTGAGCAGTTGAATAGCTCACTATTATAGACCATAGTGGGAGGCAGTTCCTCCAATAATCCAGCTTCCCTGACAGTCACCAGTCATCACGAGGCAGCCCCAATCTCAGAAGACCAGTCAGAGTTAACTGTGTCACACCATCAAGAGGTTGGTGTCCTTATTGCTACCAAAATAATCTTTCTAAAGCACAAGTACCACCATGTTCCAATCCTCAAGTGTCTGAATCCATGTCTTAGGTAAGGGTCTGTGTAGCTGGTCTAGTTAAAAAGGCCACTCCCTGTAATTTCATCAAGTTGATTGAGCTGACCAAACTTTTTTTTTTTTAACACTTTGAGTTTTATTGAGGTGTTTTGTTTTTATATTACAAACATTTACAGATTACTCCTACTTCATTAGAGGTCTCTTGTAACAAGTACAACAATACATTGACCACATCTGAAAGTTCATGCAGTATTTCACACCTGTAGCACATTTCTTCCTTATTTTTTAACAAAAATATATTTTATTTTTTCTCCAATTACATGTTAAAACAATTTTTTAACATTTGTTTTTTTTAAGTTTTGAGTTCCAAATTCCATCCATCTCTCCCTCCCTTCTTCTCCTCCCCCCTCCCTTAGACAGTAAGCAATCAGATATAGATTAAATACGTGTAATCATATAAAAACATTTCCATATTAGTCATTTTGTACAAGAAGACTCGAATAAAAGAAAAAGAATGAAAGAAAATGAAAAATAGTGTGCTTCAGTCTATATTCAAACAATATCAGTTCTTTCTCTGGAGGTAGATAGTATGCTTCATCATTAGTCCTTTGGGATTATCTTGGATCTTTATATTGCTGAGAATTAACTAAGTCATTCACAGTTCTTCATTGTACAATATTGCTGTTACTGTGTACAGTGTTCTCTTAGTTCTATTCACTTCATTATGCATCAGTTCATATGAATCTTTACAGTTTTTTCTGAAATCATCCTGTTTATAATTTTTTATAGCACAATAATATTCTATCATAACCATATACCACAGCTTGTTCAGCCATTCCCCAATTGATGGGCATTTTTTCAATTTCCAATTCTTAGCCAACACAAAAAGGGCTGCTATAAATATTTTTTTTGTGAAAATAAGTCCTTTTCCCTTTTTTTGGATGTCTTTGGGATAAAGACCTAGTGGTGGTGTTGCTGGATCAAAGGGTATGCAGTTTTATAGTCCTTTGGGCATAGCTGACCAAACTTAATAGAAGAACTTCTGATTGCCTATTATAATCCCCCAAAAGAATGTAAGCTCTCTGAGAGCCAGGACTGTTTTTTAATTTTGTGTTTGTATTCCCAGAGCTAGTACAATCACCTCCACACAGTGGGTACTTAATAATTGCTTCCCATCTCTCTTGATTCAATATTTCTTTTAGAGCCTCAGGCCATTGGATCCTATCCACCATTTCTCCGAATTCACTGAAATCTGTTTTCCTGAAGTCTTGGGTAATCTGTATTATGTCTGAGGCATTCCTTATTGATCATGAATTTTAAGCTGGCAAGTTCTTTTTATTTCCAGGGTACCAACCAATTCCTCCTTCCTAGATCATCAGGCCCAGGGTAGCCTTCCTCTGATTGCTTCCCTACCTTATCAAAGGCAAAATAATCAGAAAGGCAGGCCAGGATTTTGTTATCTGGGGTTATTGAAGAAGACAATCAGGTAACATAGTATTTTATAACATTGCTCTGCCACTTAAACAGACAACAGGCATGGGAGGGAGAGGGCAATTTTTTAGATTAGCTTGTTTTGTTGTCTTATTATGAGTACGCTATAAAAAGAATAGTGAGATAGGGCAGAAAGAGCATTGCACTTGTAGTTAAAGAACCCAATTTTGAATCCTGGCTATGCTATTTTTTTAAACCTATGTAACCTTGAGCAGATGGGGTCTCAATTTGCCCAACTGTACAAGCAAGGGTGGAACTAGGTCCAAGGTCTAAGGTCACTTGTAGCTCTGGAGTCTATAGCATTTTTTCAAGTGTAGCTTTGTGACTCCTTTCGGTAATGCCATATTATGGGCTTTAAATACCCAAAGAATACATTTATGAAGCCAATAGTAGAGCTTTTGAGATAGAATTCAGATTTAGTAAATATTTATCGAGTGCTTCTTAAATGCAAGGCACTGTAAGAAAGGAGCTCAAGAAAGCAGAATCTCCCCTAAATCCAATATGCCAGCATAACAGCTGACATTACGTTATAAATATGTATAATATACGCCAAAGCCCAGAGGATTGCAGTACTCAGTAAGGAGCACACTTAAGTTGGAGTACACTTATACTCTTCCATCACAGCATAAATCAGAATGATTTAACACCCGT